GAGCAGGGCATTCGTCAGTCCTGGACGCTTCCAGAGTCCCCACAGCAGAATGGGGTTGCTGAGCGCCGCATAGGCCTGGTCATGGAGATCGCCCGCACCTCCCTGACTCACGCCCGTGCCCCCCATTTTCTGTGGCCCTACGCGGTCAGGTACGCCGCGCACCAGCTGAACCTCTGGCCACGTGTCTCTCGGCCAGAGGCTTCACCGACCAGTCTTTGGACCGGGTCCCCTGGTGTTGCGTCGAGGTTTCGTGTCTGGGGGTGCATGGCTCTTGTCCGCGACACCTCCGCGGACAAGCTCTCGCCTCGCGCCGTTCCTTGTGTCTTCCTTGGTTTCCCTGAGGACTCCTCTGACTTCACCTTTTACCACCCTCCCTCTCACCGGTTCTTTGACTCCCGTGACGTCCGTTTCGAGGAGTACACCCCCTACTACGTCAGGTACCCCAGTCGAGGTCTCCCGGTTCCTCCTCCCCCTCTCTTCCTGACTGCCGCTCCCCCTCCTGCTCCCCCGGTACAGCCCCCCCCCCCTGGTCCAGCCCCGTCAGGTGTGTCCCAAGCTACCCCTCCCCCTTCGGTAGCCCCTCAGGTCCAGCCTCCCTCCCCACAGTCTTCCTCGCAGCGTGCTGCAGACCCTGCGGGAGCCGGTGCTTGTGGAGAGGGCCCTGCGGGTGCTAGCTCTCGAGGGGTTGGTGCTGAGTCCGTTCCTGTACCGGTTTCTGGTTCTGGGGGTGCTGGAGTTGGAGCTGAGCCGGTGGTTGCAGAGGACTCTGTTCTTCCGGGAGCTGGTGCTGGTCGTGCGGAGTCTGAGGGTGAGGGTGACCCCCCTTCGGTTTCTGGTGCGCCTGGGTCTGGAGCTGGTGTTGGTGCTGACTCTGGGGGTGGTGCGCCTGGTGCTTCGGAGGTGGACTCTGGGGCTGCCGCTGCCCCGGACACTACTACTACCCCCCACCCCTACCCGACCAGGTTCCAGGCTCGTGTTCGCCATGCTCGTGAGGAGCAGCTGGAGTTGGAGCGAGAGGAGCGAGAGTTGCAGCGGCTCGAGGAGCAGGAGCGCCAGCAGCAGCAGCAAGTGCAGCAGCAGGAGCCGCAGCAGCAGCAGCAGCAGCAGCAGCAGCAGCAGCAGCAGCAGCAGCTGTAGCAGCATTCGCCTCCTCCTCCTGTCTCGGGTCTTCAGACCCTTGGTCTTCCCTCTCGCTCTCCTTCCTCCTCCCCCTCTCCTCTCGTCTCTGGTCCTCCGCTTCCTCCTCCTGACCCCTCTCCCGCTGTTTTCCCTCGTTCTCAGTCTTCGTTGTCCCCGAGTCCTTCTCAGGCTTGGCCCTCTCGTCGCTCTCCTCGTGCTCGCCCCTCGTCTCCTGTTCCCTTCACTGACCTTCGTGCTGCCTTACTTCGTTCTAATCCACCTCGTCCGTCTCCGTCTGTGCTTCCGTCTCCTCCTGAGTCCGCCCTCACTGAGTCGCTCCCTACTCCTGTCACTGACTACTACCGCACGTACCGTCCTGTTCTCTCTCGTGTTCTCGCCTCTCTTGTTACTCACCCTCGTGCCTCTGTGTCCTCTGTGTCCGCTCTTACTGCCGCAGTCACTGACTTTGCCTCTACTCGCCGCCTTGACTACGCCACCACTCTTGTGGCTGCTCCTCCTACCAGTCCTCTGGCCGTCGGGGGTGTGTCTGCCCTTGGCTGTGACGCCCTAGAGGACAGGCAGTTCGAGCTAGAGTTCCTGGCAGCCGCTTCCCCTCATCTCTGTGCCATGCTCCTCGCCCCTGAGGGTGACCCCGACGCCCTTGACATTCCGACTCCTCGCGCTTACGCTGAGGCAGTGTCAGGGCCTTGGGCCTCTCAGTGGAGAGCTGCCATGGACGCAGAGATGGCCTCCTACAGATCCACAGGCACCTACGTCGATGAGGTTCCCCCCCCTGGGGCGAACGTAGTCGACGGCATGTGGATCTACAGGGTGAAGCGGCCACCGGGATCTCCCCCGGTCTTCAAGGCGCGCTACGTGGCTAGAGGTTTCAGTCAGCGCGAGGGAGTTGACTTCTTTCAGACCTCCGCGCCTACCCCGAAGATGACCACTTTTCGGGTGTTACTACACGTAGCAGCACAGAGAGACTACGAGTTACACTCTCTCGACTTCTCCACTGCTTTCCTTCAGGGCAGCCTACACGAGGAGGTCTGGCTGCGTCGTCCCTCTGCCTTCACCGGCACCTTCCCTCCTGGGACCCAGTGGAGGCTGAGGCGACCTGTCTACGGTCTTCGCCAGGCCCCTCGTGAGTGGCACGACACTCTGTGTTCTACCCTCTCTGACCTTGGGTTCCAGCCGTCTTCTGCTGACCCGTCGCTGTTCGTTCGTCGTGGTTCCACACCGTTCTTTTTTCTGGTCTACGTCGACGATCTCGTTTTCGCCACTCCTGACAGGGTTGCTTTGGCAGACGTGAAGTCCGAACTGCAGAAGAGACACACGTGCACTGACCTTGGTGAGCTGCGCCACTACCTTGGCCTGCAGATCACCAGGGACAGAGCCGCTCGCACCATTACACTCTCACAGTCACACATGGTGCAGCAGGTCCTTCAGCGGTTCGGGCTTCAGCACTCCACAGTACAGCGCACACCTATCGCTGTTGACCACAGACTCACTGGTCCTTTTCCTGACGAGCCGTTTGAGCCTAGTGGTCCCTACGCAGAGCTTGTGGGTTGCCTCATGTACCTGATGACTTGTACTCGCCCGGACCTCGCCTTCCCTCTCAGCATCCTTGCGCGCTTTGTTGCGCCAGGGAGACACCGTCCTGTTCACTGGACGGCAGCTGTGAGGGTGGCGAAGTACCTAGCGACTACATCAGGCGTGGGGCTAGTTCTTGGAGGGCAGCAGTCTGTCGTACTCACTGGTCACTGTGACTCCTCTTACGCTGACGACGCTGAGACTCTCAGGTCTACTCAGGGGTACTGTTTCAGTCTGGGTTCTGGAGCTGTTTCCTGGCGTTCCACGCGCTCCTCTTCTGTCTCGACCTCTACAGCTGAGGCTGAGATCTACGCTGGTGCCATGGCGGCACAGGAGCTGCGTTGGTTGACTTTCTTGCTCGCCGACCTTGGTGAGCGGCCGAGCTCTGCACCGACCTTGTTCACTGACAACAAGGCGTCGATTCTCCTCTGTCGTGAGCCGCGACTGGAGAGCAGAGTGAAGCACATTCACGTCAGGTACTTTCTTCTGCGAGAGTTGCAGAGACGTGGACAGGATCGCTTCGAGTTTGTGGAGTCCGAGGCCAACACTGCAGACGTCTTCACCAAGGCGCTTCCGCCTTGTGACCACCAGAGGTGTTGTGTGCAGTTAGGCCTTGTTGACACAGGTTCTAGTCGTGTGTAGGCTTGAGTTTACTGTCTGCTTTGCTTGTACTCTTGCTATACATACTTGTGATCTCTTGGACTGGCCTTGCGACCACTGTTGTTTGTGCTCAGAGAGTGTGGTGACGTTGTGATCCACCCTGAGCTTTGTTTCTTTGGACTGGTCTTGTGACCGTACACTTTTGATTTTGCTAGACACCCCTCACTTAGGCTATGGGGGTGTGTCGAATGTTGTAGCCTGTAGTGAGGTTTGTCTTAGGGGGTACAGTAGTTAGGGTTTGCTATATGTACCCCAACCAACATCAATGCATCATCCATTCCTCAATGACAATTCTTGAGGTGGTTGACTGAGATCGCCTTCCTACGACGTTGGGACAGGACAGCCCCCAAAAGTGCAAATATCTGGGTCCTACCTGGCAGATTTCACATAGCTCACCTACCTCCTGTGTGCAATCAAAACTGCCTGTACGACTCCATTTACGATCTGCGATCTCATCTCAATTCCAGTCGGTCAGACCCAACCGTCCGATCATGTGGGGTGTTCGCACATTAGGAGCCTCTGAACATATGCGACGTCCAGATTCGTTTCCCCTCCACCTCATCACCCTGCCTGATCTCTTGCACGTGCGAAGTGCACTTTTCGCTGTCCCGAGTTCGAAGTTGGGACAGCCCAGGAAGGCGATCTAAAATGGAACAGGCTTGCTGCAGTGATATGAGCTCGAGGCTGCTCGAGAATGTCTCCGTTCAGTTACGTCAATGTGATTCGCTCATGAAGACTGAAAACGCCGCTCACAGCGGCGGGCGAACACGACTGCGACAGACCCTGGTACCTACTCTGTCCGACTTGACGAAAGCTATCGCCACTCCAAGTTCAGTCCCGCAACTATGGTTCTTGGGAACTACTCTCGCAGCAGCTAAGGTTCCGTTCTTCGGAAAAATTCGCTTCCGACATTTTCGTCTGGTTTGCACGCAAGGAGGGATGCGATACAGTGCTTGCTTACTCCCGTAAGGATGTTAAATTCACATGACGTTTAAACATTCTCACATATATTTTGACTAGAAGTATGATTATGTATGCACAATTCTTAATGAACACATGCAAGCTGATATTGGTAACTATGTGTACACTCCTCATGCACAAACACAAACACAGAAGCACACAGACGCACACACACAATCTCACACCCAAGAGTCGCTATTAGAATGGGGTGAGAAGGGAGAGAAGGGAGAAAAACAAAAGCGATAGGTGGGTGGAGAAGAGAGGTAGAACAAACTAGGCACAAAAGACAAATCTCATGGCAGTACTTTCTTGGTGGTATCAACTTCAACTGCAGACTTAAGCAACTGCCATTTTTACTTCAGAAGAAGCATCACTTCATACGGAGTACTGGGTTGCTTGCTTTGCTGGTCTCCATATAAGCATTCTACGACCATAGTGACTAGCGGACACACATGAAAGACAGCATGTCAGCTGATGTGAGTCTGTTGAGAGGCACACAAAGAAAGAAACGGGTAGATGCAGGGAAACGTGAGAGCACACATGAGAAGTGTGTGTGCATGAGACAGAGTTGCTTCTAGAATCAACAATGATGTTCTTAGCAGAGCAGGAATGAGACAAATGCATGGAAAGCATGAGATTGGGAGTAACGAACAGATGCAAAGACTTACGAGACACTTGCTGCAGCGATGCCGGAGAGTGAGAGGGCAGGCAGCTGAGCCACCTGCGTAACGCAGTTGGCAAAGCGATACGCGTTGACAAACTGGCAGTGCCCCGCCCCTCCCGGTGCCCGGTCCACCCGCCAGTATGACCGCACGTTGAGACCGATTGTCGAAGGCAGGTTGGTGCATCCGGAGTACCTCACACGCAAGGTGTAGGTGTAGGGCGTCAAGGTAAACCCCGGCTGGTTGTAGAAGGTGAGACTCGCTGACGACACGGTTGGAAGGGCGCCTGAAAGACTTATGGGGTATGGGTTCAGGCGGAACAGGTTCGTATGCACCATCGATAAATTAACCGGGCTAAACCTACATGCATCTTGACTATCCAAAAATGCTGAAGCATTAGATATCCTTGAATGCAGGCAGAATGGTCTCAAACCAGTGGCGGTCATGCGAAAGCCAGAAGGGCAGACGCAGTAAGGTGAGGTAAGGTTGGCTTTGAGGCGTCGCACATGACCTACAACGTGACTGACTTGACGTGACTTATTCCACGTGACTTATTCCACATGACTCACCACGGACGCAACCAGTGGCGGTCATGCCAAAGCCAGCAGGGCAGACGCAGTAAGGAGCCTTTCTGGTGGAGGAGACCAGCGTGCATGTGGCCAGGGACGGGCAGTTGCCACACGTGGCCGGCCCTGGTGAGTGCAGGGTGGGGAAGCAGAGTGCAAAAGAAAAAATATGTGAGGGCGATAGGAGAGCGGGTAGAGTTGAAGGGGCCAGAAGGGCAGCCGCAGTAAGGAGCTTTTCTGGTGGACGAGACTAGAGTGCGTGCGGCTAGGGACGAACAGCTGCCACATGTGGCAGGCTATGGTGAGTGCAGCAGGGTGGAGAAATGATGTGAAATCTGGAGTGCGGTGGGAGAGCAGGTAGAGTAGAAAGGAGAAGCTAGTGCTTGGACTGGGCTGGGCAGAAAGGGGAGAAGGGGACAGCAAGTTTTAGAATAAATGGCAGCATGCAACAAAGCATACGACAGCACAATGAGCACAATGCAAAGTGTGATAGAGAGGCATGTAACAGCACGGAAATATGGGGGAGCGGGGGGAGGGGGGAACATAAACTAGAGCAGGCAATCATAGTAGTGTGTGTGGGCAAAGATGCAAAGGGAGTGAGAGGGGGTGCAGGGGAGATGGTGTGGAGGGGAGGGGAGGTGAGGTTGTAATCCATCCAAGGGTTCCAGAACAGAACTACATACCAACACAGGTGCCGTAGAGCAGTGTGTAGCCTGGCTTGCACACACAGTACGCTGTGCCATCCTCATACTTCATACAATCCGACGTGAGCGCCTGGCACCTCTTAAGGATGCAATTTTCTGGAGGGGAGGGGGTTGCGGGGGAGAGGGTTCGGGGGGAATGGTGAGCGTGGGGCGAAGGAGAAAGCTAGGTGGAGGTCCTGAGAATGCAGCAGAGAGGACGCCGACATGCCGGCTTGAGGGAAGAAGGACGAGAAAGAGAGAGCATGAGAAGGGAGAAAGAAGAAGAGGACAAGAGAGAAAGGGCAGAGCACGGGCGAGAGAGGAAGAGGTAGAGGGAGCAGGAAAGAGGGAGCGAGGAAAAGCACACACAAGGACACAAAGCGCAAAACAGTAAAACACAGAAGGACGCAAGAGCAAACATCAACACACAGCATCCTTACCCGTGCACGTCCTGCCATCACCCATGAGTGTGAAACCAACGTCACACACACAAGACGTGTTTTGAGTGGACTCAAAACACACTTTGAAATTGGCTCAGAACACACTCTTGAGTCGACTCCAAACAGATCAACACACAGCCTTCTTACCAGTGCATGTCCTGCCATCACCCATGAGCGTGAAACCAACGTCACACACACAAGACGCCATCCCCGCCTCGTCCTTCACACAGCGGCCGTTCTCACCACATGCTTGCAGTATGCACGTGTCTGCCAGGGGAGGGAGGAGCATGAGAACCATAAATGAAAAGGGTTAAGGAAAGGAAACGAAAACACACACTCACACACACACACACACACACAGACACACACACACACACACACACACACACACACACACACACACACACACACGCAAATGAATCTGGAAGCGCACTGTATCAGTACAACACACAGGTTTAGGTAGCATAGCACACAACACAACAGCCTTAGGTGTACACGTTATGCCATCATTCTGCAGCACACACAGAGCGTCGACTCGGCAGATATAGACACACATGGCCGCAAATCATCCAGCAGCAAATGACAGAAACATAGACAGCCGATGTTGGTCACGCCATAGTCCCACCCCAGTTGCAATGTTCTGAGTCGACTAGAAAAAACACGGACACATGCGGCACAAAACCACAGAAGCACAGTCGTCACACATTGCAAGCAGCACTGACCAACACAGCCGGCGTCGGTCACGGCGTAGCCCCAGTTGCAGTGACACACGGCCAGATCCTGCTCCTTTTGAGGCGCCTCACAAATACAACATGGGATAAGTAGCACTGACCAACACAGCAGGGCACTGACCAACACAGCAGGGCACTGACCAACACAGCCGGTGTCGGTCATGGCGTAGCCCCAGTTGCAGTGACACACAGCCAGCTCCTGCTCCTTCTCACAGTAGGCGTTCTCCCCACAGTCCCTTATCGCACACGAGTCTGTCGGGGGCACAGCATGAGAGAAGGCACATACGGCCCGGGAGCAGCAACAAGAGAGTGAGGGCTTTTGGGGCACCTCAAACAAAAGTCGCTCCTTCTCCTTCTCGCAGTAGGCGTTCTCCCCACAGTCCCTTATCGCACACGAGTCTGTCGGGGGCACGGCATGAGAGAAGGCACATACGGCCCGGGAGCAGCAACAAGAGAGTGAGGGCTTTTGGGGCACCTCAAACAAAAGTCGCTCCTGCTCCTTCTCGCAGCAGGCGTTCTCCCCACAGTCCCTTATCGCACACGAGTCTGTTGGGTCCACAGAGGAAAGAACACGCATATGGCCGGGGAGAAGCAATGACAGAGTGAGAACGCATGGGAGAGAGAGGAGGTGGAAAGAATGGGCGGAGTGCCCTGCCTGCCTGCCTGCATGCCCGAAGGTCTTAACGAGAGGCAGCAACTGCAGGACTGCCTACTGCCAACAAGCATGGAAGGGAAGTGGAAAGAATGGGCGGAGTGCCCTGCCTGCCTGCCTGCCTGCTCTGCATGGCGTGCCTGAAAAGCCTTTGAGAGCAACTGGAAAGGTCATAACGAGAGGCAGCGATTGCACGGGTGCTACGCACTGAAGAGGAGGACTCAGGCCGCGGGATTCAGCGGACATGAGACGCAGCAAGGGTGGGTGCAGGCACTCACGCATGCAGGATGCATTGGGCAGCAGCTTGAGGCGTCTTTCACACACACACAATCGGGTGTTATAAGGTTTGCTTTAAGACGTCTCAAAGCAAGGGAAGGTGAGCTCACGCGTGCAGGACGCATTGGGCAGCAGCTTGTGGCCCCTTTCGCACACACAGGTGCCCCAGCCTGCCTCTTTAAGTCTACTCAAAAGGGTGGGTGAAGGCACTCACGCGTGCAAGATGCGTTGGGCAGCAGCTTGAGGCCCCTCTCACACACGCAGGGGCGAGAGAAGGTTAGGTTTGAGACGTCTCAAAACAAGGGAAGGTGAACTCACGCGTGCAGGACGCATTGGGCAGCAGCTTGAGGCCCCTCTCACACACGCAGTTGGCCCAGCCTGCCTCGTTCTTCAGGCACCTCGAGTTGGGGCCGCAGTTGCGTACCGTGCACACGTCTGCACTCACACACGTGGGGGCAGACACGTGGGGTAGACACAGCACAATCGGCCAGAAACCATAACGCATGTGCTGAAGCTGTGAGGTGAAATGCAGATACCAAAATAACGCCATGATAAGCCTGCGGCGGAGTGGAGTGGAGCAATTCTGCATGCGAATCCAATCACTCCGACAGCACTAGCACCCACCAACGCAGTTGCCCTCGGCGTCCTTCTCTTGGCCCCGTGGGCAGCGGCGGTTGCTGGCAGCAGGTGGCAGGACGACGGGTGGAGCCCTGGGTGCATTCTCTGCGAGACATGATTGGGGGCAAGGGAGGCCAAGATGACTTCTGAGTCGACTCAAAGGTCGACGGCTGAAGCCCTGGGCGCATTCTCTGCGAGACACAATGGGGGGCAGGGAGTGCAGGTCAAGTTGGAAGCGTGTATGTGAAGGGATGTGCAAGCATACATGCACAGATATTTGAAATGTTAGCAGAAACGATAGGAGGCAGGGAGGCGGAGGTCAAGAGGGAATGGTGAGAGAGAGAGTGAGTGAGGGAGATGGGGAGAGAGAGGGAAAGAAAAGAAGCATGGCAGCGCAGAGCAGCCTTACCAGCGCACGACTTGACATCATCTCGCAGGGTGGAGCCAGCGTCACACACGCAGTTTGGCTCCTAAGAGTTCCCAAATCCCAACTCATGGCAGCACAGCACAGCAGAAGCCTTGCTTCGAGGCGCCTCAAGATTGAAGAAGGGTTTTGAGACGTCTCAAAACACAGCAGAGCAGAAGCCTTGCTTTGAGGCGCCTCAAAAATAGCAGCGCAGAGCAGCCTTACCAGCGCACGACTTGCCATCGTCTCGCAGGGTGAAGCCAGCGTCACACACACACGACGCCACCCCCTCCTCATCCTTAACGCACTGGCCGTTCTCACCGCACTCCAGGAGCACACACGTGTCTGCCAGGAGAGGGAGGAGCGGCGGGAGCAGAAAAACCGCAACAGCAACAGTGAATGCGATGCACACATGGCAGCGGCAGCACATGACACATCAGCAGCAGTAACAGGTTGCCATCACAGCGTGACTCATCAGGACAACACGGGATAGCAAGCAGCACTGACCAACACAGCCGTCCGCGGTCTTGGTGAAGCCAGTGTTGCAGTGACAGGTGCTGCGCCCCTCCTGCTCCTCCTCACAGTACCCGTTCTCCCCACAGTCCGCACTCGTGCACACCTCTGCCAGGTTTACAGCACCAGAGGGAGGACAGAAGAGTAAGCACAGGAGATTAGGAGAAAAAAAAATTGTTGGAGTGGGAAAGTTTGAAACGAGAGGCAGCAATGGCACGTGTGTCAAGCATGCAAGGAAACAAGGGCGACATTCAGTCCTGTGCACTCACGCGCGCAGGACGCGTTAGGCAGCAGCTTGAAGCCTCTGTCCTGTCGCACACGCAGTACCTTTTGAGAAATCTCTAAGGTGAGGCACTCACGCGCGCAGGAGGCGTTGGGCAGCAGCTTAAAGCCCCTGTCGCACACGCAGTCCGCCCAGCCCGCCACGCTCTTGAGGCACCTCGCGTTGGCGCCGCAGCTGCGGTCCGTGCATGCCAGGCGCAGGGCTTCCGCCGCCCTGGGCGCACACGCTGGTTGAGAGAGCGGAGGGAAGGGGGAAGAGAGGGGGAGGGTTGGGGGGGGGGGGGGGGAGTTTCGAGTCGAGTCAGAAGTCACACGCAGTCCGCCCAGCCTGCTTGGCTCTTGAGGCACCTCGCGTTGGCGCCGCAGCTGCGATCCGTGCATGCCAGGCGCAGGGCCTCCGCGGCCCTGGGCGCACACGCTGGGAGACACCGACCAGGGAAGAGAGGGGGAAGGGGTCGGAAGGAGTGGTAAGGGGTGGAGGAGGTGGATGAGATGGTAAAGATGGAAGGGCGAGGAGAGCTGGCGATGTTAAGGCTTACGAGGAACTATGCAGACACTGTGTGCTTACATGCATGTTCGTGCAGCAATGTGTGCTATTCTGTGAAATTTCAGAAAAAAAGAAAAAAAAAAAAAAAAAAAAAAAAAAAAAAAACGCAGATAGCTGTTCGCCAGGCGGGTGAGGGAATGAGCATACCTGAGAGCATGAGAGCAGCCAGCGCAGCAGCGAGCACAAGCCTGAGGCCAGAGCGTTGCATCGCAGCAACGTCGCACGCAGCCATGGCTGGTCTTTCTGGATTTTCGAAAGCGAGAACCCGCGAAAAAACGCAGCCCGGAGAGGTCCTTGAGGAGGTGCGTAACGGTTGAAATCGGTCAAGCAGGAAAGGGTGGAAAGGGGTGATTTGCGGACTGGAATGATGATGGGTTTAGTCCCATCGCTAAAATACTTCCACCGCCACGCTCAGTCCCGCCTCCTAGGCTGGCAGAGAGTACGCCGCTCAGCCCTAGATGCCTCCTAGGCTGCCGAATGCCGCGGTTGGAACTCCGCCCTTCCGCCCACCCTTTGCGGATGCCATAGTAGCGCTGCACGCAGTGACCAATGGCAGGCATCCCCGGGGCCCTTGCGAATCGGTTTTATCCAATGTTAGAGCAGCACGCGGCATGACGCAATCCAAACAGTTCAGACGTCAAGTTCACGCCGACCGTCAAGCTCCAAGAAACTTGGAAGGCGGCAGTTTCGGATTCCCCAAGAACATCACTTGGAATCTTAGCATTGTTCACGTTTCTGTAGCCGTCCTTGACGGCATTCGTGAACGATACTGTACTGTACTGTACTGTACTGTACTGTACTGTATTGGCGATACCGTCCTACCGCCGCGCGGAAGATATGCACTAGCCCGGCTTGAGCTTGAGCCATGACTCTTCGATGTGTACAATACCCAGGATGCTTCTATTCGATCATTCCAGCACGCGGAGGAACGCTGGGCGGTGAGCATTCGTTTTGGGCTCAACTTCTTCGGAAGGGAATAATCGGATGACGTGGCGCGCCCTCCCCGGCATTTGGACAAAACACAAGACTTCACCGGCCCGACCCAAACCTGTCGTGGCCTGCTTGACGAATCTGACGTGCGCTGAACAGTCGCCGACCTCCCCTAACCTAATATACTGGCAGAAGTAGAAGCACCGGTCAATAACTTGACAGGTCGATCCCAACGACTCGTAGAATATTTTTTTGCATCCCGACGCACGCATTGGTGTTCATACGAAACTACGACTCAGAAGGACGGTCAATGAAAATTGACTCTTGCGACAAATTCGCGCTAACTGTTGGCAAGAGGCAAAAGTGGACATTCATTAGCTGTACATCGGGCACAACCTCCCCAAAAGATGGCCCAAAAGACGGCAGGTTTGCATTAGTACGGTACGGTACAATGCAAACCTGTACTAATGTACTTGTACTGGAAGGTGGTTGATTTGGAGTGACGACCAACCTTCGACCTGCTGTTGGATTCGCACTCAGCAAGGAAAGAATGGAACACGAATGAAAAAATGGAAGACGAACGGAAGACAAGGAAAGAATGGAAACGAATCTGTGTGCCACACATCTGCACGTTTATGGACCAATCATAGCTACGTCGGGTCACTCTAATTGTGTGGTTTCAATCAATCCAACGGATATCGGAAGCCCAAGCCCAATGGGTGCCGCCGCACATCTCAGCAATCTAGAAGCTGCTTCAACGTTGAGCGGCCATTTTCAGGTGCATGCAACTTAGTCTAGGAACTGTATTTAAGTGCATGCCATGTTATTCAGCAGGTGCGTACACTATACGCATCTTAGAAACATGTTACTTTACAACCACGCGCTTCCTGCGATGCGAGTATTCCCGCTTGTGTTTTGACACAAAAACAGTCGCAAGCCAATCGGGGTTGCCGAAAACGAGAAGATGAAACCAAAGCGACCTGAAACTCCAGTTGTGGTGCTAGGAGCTCTGTTGTTTCGCCAATCACTCTTGTTGCCGTATCTCGCAGAATGGTAACGGCTAGCGACGATTCGTGCCTTCTTGTGAAATATGAATGCACTGCTGGTTGTCTTTTTCATTGTTGAGAGATGATTATTGTTAATCAACCTTACCAGGTATATTGCAAAAAACTTAAAGAAAGAAACCTAAACAGCATTATCAACCGAGACAGACCCCATTTCTTCAACTACAATGGCCAAGCCGTGTCATGGCGTGAATTTTGAGTCCTCAAAAGTCACCATGTCTCCGCCCTGGGGCTTTATGTTGGGTTGAAAAAGCCCTTAGGATCTTTGCAGGGGTGAACTCTGGGTAGAGTTGGTGTAGTAGCGGAAGCGTTAATTAAAGAGTTGTGAACCACCTTGCGCTAGTATGTGAGGGCAAAGTAAGTTGATTAAAACAAAGAGATACAAGCTTTTATATGAGAGTACAAGGAATGTGAAGAGATACAGTTATAACTACTTTACTGTTGCTGTTGCGGTTCGATACAGTGACGACTCGGGCAACTGCTCTGTAGCGAGTCACTTGTGTGTCCTTGCTGTCGCGCTGTACTTGTCAGGTCCTTCACGAAGAAATATCGCAGGGCGATGTGTTTCGTCCTGTTCGCGAAGCCGTTCTTGTTGGCGATGCGAATTGCCGACTGGTTGTCGCAGAACAGGGTAAAGTTGGGTAACTTGGCTAACTTCGCTTCTTCCAGCAGCTCGCGAAGATAGAGTCCTTCCTTGGTGGCTGAGCAGAGTGCAATATATTCTGCTTCAGCTGACGGGAGAGCAATTAATTCCTGCTTGCTCGACTGCCAAGAGATAGGTCCGATAGGTTCGAGGCGGTAGATGTAGCCGGTGCGGGAGCGCCTATTGTCGGAGTCGCCAGCGTGATCAGCGTCGACGTAGCCGATTAACTTGGTCGGTGTGGTTGCGTTCTTGTAGTAAGTTAGGCCGATCGTTGGGGTGCTGACAAAGTAGTGAAGAGTGCGGTCGAGCTCCGCCAGATGTTCTGCTTCAGGCTTCTTAAGGTAGGTGGCGAGCTGGCTTGCGGAGTATGAGAGGTCGGGACGACAGGTGACGGCTGCGAAGAGAAGACATCCCAGCTTCTTCTGGTAGTCTCGTATGCCGGCGGGCTTGAGTAGAGCGGAGCTTCCTTTGTCGTTTCCTGCCGTGTAGCGGTATGGCGTGGAGATGGCTGTCGGTGCGAGCGTAAAGCGTTTGGCGATAGTGTCGGCATATTTCTCGGCGCTGAGGTAGATCGCGTCCTCCTCTTCCCGGATGTTGAGGCCGAGGTACTGAGTGACGGTAGATGAAACTGTGAGCGTGAGATCTCGCTGCAGCTCCCCTTCGAACCAGGTGGTGATGCCGTCAGTTGAGCCGATGTAGAGGAGATCGTCCACGTAGACGATTAGTAGGATGTAGTCGTCGTTTTTGGTGAGCCGGTACATGCCTTGATCGTGCGGTAGTTGCTTGAAGCCGATGCGGATGAGGCGAGCGTGCAGGTACTGTTGCCACAGTCGCGGAGCCTGCTTGATGCCGTAGAGTGACTTGAGTAGCTGGCAGACTTGGTTGGGTTCTCTGTGGGAGCCGTGCGGTAGCTCGACGAAAATTTCTGCATCAACAGGTGCGTAGAGGAATGCGTTCGCGACGTCAATTTGTCGCAGCTTCTTCTTCTTCATGGCGGCGATTGCGAGGAGAATGCGTAGTGAGGTGTGGCGGCTAACCGGAGCGAAAGTTTCGGTGAAGTCGCGTCCGTGTTCTTGGTCGAAGCCGCGTACGACCCAGCGAGCTTTAAATTTGTCGATGGTGCCGTCAGCCTTTGTCTTCACACGGAAGACCCATTTCCCGGTGAGCACTGTCTTGTTCCGTGCCACGCCGATAGGAACCACTTTCCACGTGTTGCGTTCCTCCAGTGCCTTCAGCTCTTTGTCCATGGCTTCGCGCCATTTTTCCTTATGTTCCCCCCCCAGAGCCTGTTGAACTGTCGCATGCTCTTTAGGAATGGCGGTGCCGTGGACTGCGGTGACGAGTCCGAGAATTTGCAGTCCACTCTGTGAGTAGCGGGGAAGATTTGCGTCCTCGGGATAAGCTGCTTCATCTCCCGCTTCTGGATCAGGTATGAAGTTGGGTCCTACTCGTTCTGCTTCGTTGGTGTTGACTGTCGCAGGTGTTACGTAACCGTTGTCGGCGAAATAGTAGAAGGTTTCGGCGTTGGCACTTTCGCGAGGGTTATCTTCGTCCATGGGAACGTCGACGGAGCAGAAAGGAAGGGGTCCGGCTTCTTCTGATGCGTTGTCCACATTCTGCTCGTCCCAGTCAGCTTCGTCCGCTGCGGAGGCGAAGGCTCGGTCACCGCGAAAACCACCTGTGGGATCCTGGTCTTCTTGCAGGTTGGCAAGGTATGTCTGGAGCGTGAGTCGTTCGTAGAAAATTACATCACGTGCTGCTACTGTTTCCTTGGAATGGACGTCGAAGATTTTCCACGCGTTGTAGTTCTTTTCGATTCCCAGGTGTAGTCCCCACTGTGCTCGTTGAGAAAATCGGCCCGCTCGTGCTGCTGGGGGTCGGTACTGTACCATGCATCCGAATACTCGTAACATTTTTGTGCTGCCCTGTTTCCCTGTCCATAGCAGATGCGGTGATGCGTTGTTTGGAAGCGATGATGACGAGAGCAAGTTGTGCAGCATGACGGCGTGGTCCATTGCCGCAGGCCACTGGTGGTTGGGTAGCCGCATGCCACGTAACAGTTTGCGCATGCTGTTCTGCAAGGTCCTGTTCATTCTTTCTGCTACACCTTGCTGCTGATGGGCGTAGGGAAGGGATATGAGCCGCTTGATTCCCCTTTCCGCCAGGTACTGCTTGAATCGCTGAGATGTGTATTCTCCTCCTCCGTCTGACTGGAAGCTTTTCAGTTTCACGCCCGATTCTCTCTCTGCTACTGGTAGCCAGGCAACGAGGGCTGCGAATGCCATGTCGCGGCTAGGGAGGTTTAGGTGCCAGACGTAACGGGTGGCGGCGTCGATGAAGGTGATTGTATAGTTGTATATTACTTGTCCTGGTTCCCGATTGTACAGGATGTCGCTATACACCTTCTCGAGTGGTGCGTACGCGGGTGCGCTCGGGTTGTGATGAGGCGCAAACGGTCGATGTGGTAAGTCACCTTCAGGGCAGGTGAAGCACGTTCCGCGTACTCGTTGAGGTTCTCGTCCGTCGGTCAGTAGGAGTGAGTCCTTGTCGAGTACTCCTGCTCTTATCGTATTGTTTAATACTGTGTTGCTTGGGTGTCCCATCCTTGCGTGCCAGGTGCTTTCGTCGGCGCGTTGTCCGGGTGATCGTCGGTACATATCGGAGTTGGAGTAGAAGTTGGCGGTGAAGTTGGCGCTACGATGAACTTCTCGTGGTGCTGGGTGTAGTTGTTGCGCGGGTGTCGGTGGTGTGTCGTCGATGAGGAGTGGTGTCGTTGAAGGACCAGCAATTGGTGTTGACGTTCCTGCTGCTGCCGTTGATGGTTCTGCTACTGCCGATGTTGTCTCTGCTGCTGCCGATGCTGTCTCTGCTGCTGCCGATGTTGTCTCTGCTGCTGCCGATGTTGTCTCTGCTGCTGCCGATGTTGTCTCTGCTGTTGCCGATGTTGTCTCTGCTGCTGCTGATGTTGTCTGAATTGTTGCTAACGCCCTTGTTCTTTCTGCTTCAGGGATGGTGTGTGAATACCAGAAGCCTTCTGGACTGAAGTCTGGATCAAGGTCTGGAGGGTGTGTCCAGTTGGTGAAGTTAACGATGGCGTCGCTGTCGGCGGTGCCAAGATCAGGAACGAAGTCAAGAACGAAGACGTTGTTCTTGAGGACTGCCTTGCCGATGTAAAGTCCTCCTCTCCCGTGATACAGCTTGAATTCTTGGGTGGTGCTGTCTGCTTCGAGGTGAATCCCTTTCGCCATTAGCTGACTGACGCTCAGTAAGTTGTAGCCGAGTCCCTCCGCGATTAGTACTTTTGACATCTGCAGTATAACGTTTGTTTCCCTTGACTGAAGTTGGACTACGCCTTGTCGTCGTGTTCGCAGGTTCTGATTGTTGGCGACTGTAATGACAACTTCGCGTTGAAGTTGGTGTTCTTGTTGAACGAAGCGTCCCGAGGAGCATATGTGCTGTCCGCAGCAACTGTCCAAGAACCATGTGTCCTTTCCGGATGGTTCGCTTTGGGCGATGGCGGCGTATGTCGGGTTCGGCTGAAGTGACTCGCGGCGGGGTGTGGTTTCGTCGAGTTGTTCTTCCGGTGAGTAGTGTGGTGGTGACTCGGTGATACAGGAGTCACTCAGCTTTGCCATGCAGCTGACGATGTTTCTTGCTCCTTGTGCAGGTTGTCCCGTTGAAGTCGTTGAGGCTTGAATCTGGGTCGTGGGATTTGCTTGCGTTGAGGCGATTTGGCTGCTTGAAGGTCGAAGTTGCCGCTGTGGAGTTGTTGACAGTTGACGATTCGGGCAGTGCGTACGCGGGTGTCCTGAAGTTTTGCAGATGTGGCAGAACGGAGGTACTGGCTTCGGTTGTTGCTGCCGGTTGTTGTTGTTGTTGTAGCGTCGCTGAGTGTGGAACGCGAATTCCGGTGCTGATGTCTTCTTTTTGTGTCGTTCTTCTTGCAGGTCCATGTCTTGCTGCTCGGCGTGGATTTCGGTGCAGAGTGCTGCTTTGGAGATTCTTCCGTGAGCTCGGAGAATGGCCTTTGTGGCGCGCCATTGAGGACCGAGGCCGCCGATGATGACTGTCACGAAGGCGTCTTCAGAGATTGTCCCTCCGCATCGAAGAAGCTTGTCGCGCAGCTCGCGACATCGACCGATATACGCCATTCCTTTCTCCCTTGGTTTTATTTCAACCGTTGTCAGTTGCGCCATTAACCGACTTTGGCTTATGCTGTCTGTTGCTTGATACAGGCTCTTCAGGTGGTTGTACGCGAGCTCCGCGGAGTTGCCGTAACCTCGGTAAGACCTTATGTTCTGCTGTTGAGTCGGGGTGATATTCCTCAGTAGGATCGTGTACGCCATCATTGACTGATAGGTGTACTGCTGCTTCTCGTACTGTGTGCCGTTTGTTGGGTATGGCAGAGACCCGTCGAAGAACCCGAGTATCTGCGCGCCTTCCATCATCAGCTCGAACTCGAACGACCTGGTGAAGAAGTCCTTTCCATTGAAGGGTCTTGACGTCTGCATCTTCAGAACGTGTGCGAACTGCGACTGAACTTGTAATGCGTCCAGTGATTTTTCTTGTCCAGGTGAAGGCTGTGGGTGTGGCATAAAGCTGATGGACCCGCGCTCGTACGGAGCAAAGGTAGGCTGCTGTTGTTGATTTCCTCGTGCATATGATGAGCCGTCGAGACTCATGGGTGTTGCTCCGTTGTTGTTGCTGTTGTGTGACTGCGCAGGTGCCGATTGCTGGTGTTGCTCGTAGAAGGACATGAAGGAGAAAAACTTCTCCATCATGCTCTGGTCGAAGTCTGCAGGTTGATTCGCGGGAGTCTCAGTAGATGTTGCTCTGGGTCTTGTTGCCGTGCCCTCCTCTGTCTGTAGGCCAGAGGCAGGAGGTGGAGTAGGAGTAGTGCCCTGGGAGCCGTTGGAGTTGCTCCTTTCCTTTTGTGTAGCCATGCTTGTTGATGTTGTCGGTATAGAAGTTGAATTCCCCCTGATAGCTCTCATACCATGTTGGGTTGAAAAAACCCTTAGGATCTTTGCAGGGGTGAACTCTGGGTAGAGTTGGTGTAGTAGCGGAAGCGTTAATTAAAGAGTTGTGAACCACCTTGCGCTAGTATGTGAGGGCAAAGTAAGTTGATTAAAACAAAGAGATACAAGCTTTTATAAGAGTACAAGGAATACGAAGAGATACAGTTAATAACCGTTTTACTATTGCTGTTGCGGTTCGATCAGGGCTGACTTTATCAGACTAAAATAGTCTGATTGTCTGAAATCTCAGGGTATTTTCCTACGGATCCTGATTTTTCAGACTTGTAAGATTTTCAAACATGAGTACCTCAGACTTACTTGGTTTTGGATCCTGAGATTTTCAGAGTACTGACTTAGCTGATAATGGGTCTTCATACTACAGGGAGTACGGATCCTGAAATGCGGATCTGTAATTTCTACGTACATTCCGCTACGTCATATGTTGCCAGTGTACGAACACACTTCATGGCGCTGTCACGCGCAGAATCTGTCCTTGGCAACTTTTGCCACCCTTTTCCCTTAGAAATCTGCCAACTTGGCTCGCTCTTTCACTCACGCGGGACCATCACTGCAGCTACGCGGTGTCAGCGAGGGAAACTCAGTGCTGGCGCAGCAAAGTCGGTTAGCGCTGCGCCCCACGTGCTACAATCGTGGCAGTACTGTACTGCAGTAGTTGTAGTGTGTTCTGAGTACTTCAGACTTGTGTTTTTGCGGAACCTGAAAAATCAGAGTACCCATTCTCTGGGAAATATGCCTCAGACTAAAAATTTTCAGAGCCCCCAAAACATCAGACTGGATTTTTTTGAATAGTCAGCCCTGGGTTCGATACAGTGACGACTCGGGCAACTGCTCAATACCGAGTCAGTTGTTTGTCCTTGCTGTCGCGCTGTACTTTGTCAGGTCAAAGGTCGCTGACCTTTGACTTTCGCGTAACCTCCAACAGTTACTTTCAACCTCCGAGGGTTGACTCGCCGGTGATTCGTTATACTTCGTTTCTTTTGTGTCTTAGTGTTTCGACACGACAGAGGCGCTTAGGACCGATTGTTTCCAACACTTTATTGGACAAAATCCAGCCAGGTTCATGAATCTTCAACCAACCATCTCAGATCCCATGCACTCCATTACGATAGTCACGTCTTGTCAGCACTCAGTACAGCCATGGCAGCAGCAATGATAAGTTACAGCCACAGCTTCATGTCTCGAAGACAAACCTCCTGCTGCCTGCCATCCTCCCCACAGCTCACCTGCGCAGCCACTATCTCTCTCCTATGCGCCTCCAGCCATGCTCTGTCCCCTACCGCCCTCCACCCAGGGGGGAATAACTTCTCTGGAAGTACCCCCACGCTCGCTCCTGTATCTCCTGTGCCTCCTGTGCCTCCTCCCGTACCTGCTCCCGTACCTGCTTCCGTACCTGCTTCAGTACCTGCTTCCATGCCTGCGTCCACAGCTCCTTCCGAACCTACAGCGAACCCATCCTCCTCAACTCCCACGAGCCTCTCTCCCCGAACCATCTCAGCCACAGCGTGATTCAGCGCCGTGCTAAGAACCTCCGGACCAGAAAACACCCCTGAACCACCCCTTGCTGCTGCCGCACCTGCCGTCACATATCCCCTTAAAGCCCCAACAGCCCACCGATGCACCATGGCTTGCACAGCAGGGGTGGGGCGAAGAGCCATGAGCCATGGAGAGAGGGACCCCAGGAGGGACGGTGCGAGGGCGGTGGTGTTGGGGGGTGCAGGGGCTGCTGCCTGCTGCCTGTTCTCTGCTGCCCCTTGCGCTGGTGGCATGTCTGGCTGCTGCTGCTGCTGCTGCAGAGGCGGGTCTTGGTGGGAGAAGGAGGGCAGCACGAGGGAATGGGATGGCGGGAAGTAGCGGCGAGGGTCACGCAGCCACACCGAGTTGATGTCGCTGGGAGGCAAATGGAGGGAAGGGCGCAAGGCGGCACGAAGGGGGGCGAGGGAAAGAAAGCGTGAAGGGAGAGTTTTGGGAAAATAGAATGATGGTGGGAAGGAGGGTTGGGCGTCACACAACGACAGCAAGTTGATGTTGCAGAGAGGTCTAGTTTTGAGGCGCCTCAAAACTGGGTTGGGCGTCACACAACGACAGCAAGTTGATGTTGCAGAGAGGTCTAGTTTTGAGGCGCCTCAAAACTGGGTTGGGCGTCACACCACAACAGCAAGTTGATGTTGCAGAGAGGTCTAGTTTTGAGGCGCCTCAAAACTGGGTTGGGCGTCACACAACGACAGCAAGTTGATGTTGCAGAGAGGTCTAGTTTTGAGGCGCCTCAAAACTGGGTTGGGCGTCACACAACGACAGCAAGTTGATGTTGCAGAGAGGTCTAGTTTTGAGGCGCCTCAAAACTGGGTTGGGCGTCACACAACGACAGCAAGTTGATGTTGCAGAGAGGTCTAGTTTTGAGGCGCCTCAAAACTGGGTTGGGCGTCACACAACGACAGCAAGTTGATGTTGCAGAGAGGTCTAGTTTTGAGGCGCCTCAAAACTGGGTTGGGCGTCACACAACGACAGCAAGTTGATGTTGCAGAGAGGAAAGGAGGGTGAAGGGACAAGGGGGAGGGGGGTGAGGTGAAGAGAGGGCTGAGAGAGTGACGGGAGAGTAGGTTGAGAGAAGGATAAGGAAACGATGCAACAAGTGCAGCAGAATCAGGGAAGGATGGAGAATGAGGGGAGAATGAGGGAAGAATTAGGGAAGAGTGAGGGAAGAACTAGGTGATAGTGAGAAGAGAATGAGGTGATAAATATTTCATGTCTAGCAGCACACTGATCACCACTGACTGTACAGTCTGTACCTGCGCAAAACTGCTTAGGGCACATTCACCGAGGTGACTTTTGAGTGGCTGAAACACGGACTAAGCTCTTCAATGCTCACTGCACCTGCACCGAGCGAGGTGACTTTTGAGTCGACTTTTCATGTCTAACAGCACACTGATCACCACTCACCGTACAGTCTGATCAAGCTTATCACTCACTCACCAGTCACGGCCCAGCACCACTCAATGAGGTGACACATACTACATGCCAACAGCACACTGCTCACCAGTCACCGTACAGTCTGCACCTGCACCTGTAGCACCCTAGCAGCACTGCTCACTCCACCTGTTGAGGTAGCAGCACCCTAGGAGCACGGAGCACTGTACCTATGGACAGCAGTGACATTGGCAGCCAGCAGACGCGCTAGGATGAGGGGGCAATGAGGTGAAATTATAACTGTATTTCATTTATAGCGGTACTGCACACTGTACCTGTAGACAGCAGTGACGTTGACAGCCAGCCAGCAAGCGGGCGAGGATGAGGGGGCATTGAGGTGAAACTAAACTGTATTTTATTTCTAGCGGTACTGCACACTGTACCTGTAGACAGCAGTGACGTTGACAGCCAGCCAGCAAGCGGGCGAGGATGAGGGGGCATTGAGGTGAAACTAAACTGTATTTTATTTCTAGCGGTACTGCACACTGTACCTGTAGACAACAGTGACGTTGACAGCCAGCAAGCGGGCGAGGATGAGGGGCGGCAGCAGCAGGCACGTGGCTCTGGCCACTCGGGGCGACACGCTGTCACTGGAGCGTGTGATCACATGGCCGCCTGGCATGCTCATCTGAGAGTTGAGTTGAGGGGAGAGAATTCACAGGAGCAGGGGAGAGACACACGGGAGCAGGGGAGAGACACACGGGAGCAGGGGAGAGACACACGGGAGCAGGGGAGAGACACACGGGAGCAGGGGAGAGACACACGGGAGCAGGGGAGAGACACACGGGAGCAGGGGAGAGACACACGGGAGCAAGGGAGAGACACACGGGAGCAGGGGAGAGACACACGGGAGCAGGGGAGAGACACACGGGAGCAGGGGAGAGACACACGGGAGCAGGGGAGAGACACACGGGAGCAGGGGAGAGACACACGGGAGCAGGGGAGAGACACACGGGAGCAGGGGAGAGACACACGGGAGCAGGGGAGAGACACACGGGAGCAGGGGAGAGACACACGGGAGCAGGGGAGAGACACACGGGAGCAGGGGAGAGACACACGGGAGCAGGGGAGAGACACACGGGAGCAGGGGAGAGACACACGGGAGCAGGGGAGAGACACACGGGAGCAGGGGAGAGACACACGGGAGCAGGGGAGAGACACACGGGAGCAGGGGAGAGACACACGGGAGCAGGGGAGAGATACACGGGAGCAGGGGAGAGACGCACGGGAGCAGGGGAGAGACACACGGGAGCAGGGGAGAGACACACGGGAGCAGGGGAGAGACACACGGGAGCAGGGGAGATTATTGAGTCGCCACTCGAGCAGGGGCGACAAGCTGTCACTGGAGCATGTGTGTGATCACGTGGCTGCCTGGCGTGCTCATCTGCATGTTGAGGAGAGAGAGTTGGGGATGAGGAAAGTGCAGGGGAGACTAGTGATGTGAGGCGGCTCAACAGGGACAGCAGGAGCAGGCATGTTTGTTGGCGGCCACTCGGGGCGACACGCTGTCACTGGAGCGTGTGATCACATGGCCGCCTGGCGTGCTCATCTGAGAGTTGAGTTGAGGGGAGAGAATGCACAGGAGAGAGTTGAGCAGCAGGCACGTGGCTCTGGCCACTTGGGGCAACAAGCTTTCATCGGATCGAGTGATCATGTGCCCCCCCTGGCATGAGCTTTTGAGTGATCATGTGCCCCCCCTGGCATGAGCTTTTGAGTGATCATGTGCCCCCCCTGGCATGAGCTTTTGAGTGATCATGTGCCCCCCCTGGCATGAGCTTTTGAGTGATCATGTGCCCCCCCTGGCATGAGCTTTTGAGTGATCATGTGCCCCCCTTGGCATGAGCTTTTGAGTGATCATGTGCCCCCCCTGGCATGAGCTTTTGAGTGATCATGTGCCCCCCCTGGCATGAGCTTTTGAGTGATCATGTGCCCCCCCTGGCATGAGCTTTTGAGTGATCATGTGCCCCCCCTGGCATGAGCTTTTGAGTGATCATGTGCCCCCCCTGGCATGAGCTTTTGAGTGATCATGTGCCCCCCCTGGCATGAGCTTTTGAGTGATCATGTGCCCCCCCTGGCATGAGCTTTTGAGTGATCATGTGCCCCCCCTGGCATGAGCTTTTGAGTGATCATGTGCCCCCCCTGGCATGAGCTTTTGAGTGATCATGTGCCCCCCCTGGCATGAGCTTTTGAGTGATCATGTGCCCCCCTTGGCATGAGCTTTTGAGTGATCATGTGCCCCCCCTGGCATGAGCTTTTGAGTGATCATGTGCCCCCCTTGGCATGAGCTTTTGAGTGATCATGTGCCCCCCCTGGCATGAGCTTTTGAGTGATCATGTGCCCCCCCTGGCATGAGCTTTTGAGTGATCATGTGCCCCCCCTGGCATGAGCTTTTGAGTGATCATGTGCCCCCCCTGGCATGAGCTTTTGAGTGATCATGTGCCCCCCCTGGCATGAGCTTTTGAGTGATCATGTGCCCCCCCTGGCATGAGCTTTTGAGTGATCATGTGCCCCCCCTGGCATGAGCTTTTGAGTGATCATGTGCCCCCCCTGGCATGAGCTTTTGAGTGATCATGTGCCCCCCCTGGCATGAGCTTTTGAGTGATCATGTGCCCCCCCTGGCATGAGCTTTTGAGTGATCATGTGCCCCCCCTGGCATGAGCTTTTGAGTGATCATGTGCCCCCCCTGGCATGAGCTTTTGAGTGATCATGTGCCCCCCCTGGCATGAGCTTTTGAGTGATCATGTGCCCCCCCTGGCATGAGCTTTTGAGTGATCATGTGCCCCCCCTGGCATGAGCTTTTGAGTGATCATGTGCCCCCCCTGGCATGAGCTTTTGAGTGATCATGTGCCCCCCCTGGCATGAGCTTTTGAGTGATCATGTGCCCCCCCTGGCATGAGCTTTTGAGTGATCATGTGCCCCCCCTGGCATGAGCTTTTGAGTGATCATGTGCCCCCCCTGGCATGAGCTTTTGAGTGATCATGTGCCCCCCCTGGCATGAGCTTTTGAGTGATCATGTGCCCCCCCTGGCATGAGCTTTTGAGTGATCATGTGCCCCCCCTGGCATGAGCTTTTGAGTGATCATGTGCCCCCCCTGGCATGAGCTTTTGAGTGATCATGTGCCCCCCCTGGCATGAGCTTTTGAGTGATCATGTGCCCCCCCTGGCATGAGCTTTTGAGTGATCATGTGCCCCCCCTGGCATGAGCTTTTGAGTGATCATGTGCCCCCCCTGGCATGAGCTTTTGAGTGATCATGTGCCCCCCCTGGCATGAGCTTTTGAGTGATCATGTGCCCCCCCTGGCATGAGCTTTTGAGTGATCATGTGCCCCCCCTGGCATGAGCTTTTGAGTGATCATGTGCCCCCCCTGGCATGAGCTTTTGAGTGATCATGTGCCCCCCCTGGCATGAGCTTTTGAGTGATCATGTGCCCCCCCTGGCATGAGCTTTTGAGTGATCATGTGCCCCCCCTGGCATGAGCTTTTGAGTGATCATGTGCCCCCCCTGGCATGAGCTTTTGAGTGATCACACGCCCCCCTGGCATGAGCATCTGTGAGTTCAGTTGCGGGGTGTGTGTTGAGACGAGACAGGAGAGGAGGGGAAGGGAGGATCACGGGGTAAGAGCACAGGAGAAGATCACGGGAGACGTGCTTTCATCGGATCGAGTGATCACACGCCCCCCTGGCGTGAGCATCTGTGAGTTCAGTTGCGGGGGGTGTGTTGAGACGAGACGAGACAGGAGGGGAGGGAGGATCATACGGCAACAGCAGGCACTCGTGGCACGGGCCACTCGAGGTGTATGTTGAGGCGCCTCAAAATACACTCGCGGCTCTGGCCTCTCCTCTATACAATGCATTTTTGAGACGTCTAAAAAATACATTGTATACACTCGTGGCTTCTCAAAACACACTTGTGGCTCGGGCCACTCGGCGGATCGAGGAGACTAGATCGAGTAATCATGCGCCCCCCTGGCGTGTGCTTCTGCATGTTCAGTTGAGGGGTGTTGAGAAGAGACAGGAGAAGAGGGGATGATCAGATCACACGGCGGAGTAATCATGTGGCCCCCTGGCGTGTGCTTCTGCATGTTCAGTTGAGGGGTGTTGAGAAGAGACAGGAGAAGAGGGGATGATCAGATCACACGGCGGAGTAATCATGTGGCCCCCTGGCGTGTGCTTCTGCATGTTCAGTTGAGGGGTGTTGAGAAGAGACAGGAGAAGAGGGGATGATCAGATCACACGGAGGAGTAATCATGTGGCCCCCTGGCGTGTGCTTCTGCATGTTCAGTTGAGGGGTGTTGAGAAGAGACAGGAGAAGAGGGGATGATCAGATCACACGGTGGAGTAATCATGTGGCCCCCTGGCGTGTGCTTCTGCATGTTCAGTTGAGGGGTGTTGAGAAGAGACAGGAGAAGAGGGGATGATCAGATGACACGGCGGAGTAATCATGTGGCCCCCTGGCGTGTGCTTCTGCATGTTCAGTTGAGGGGTGTTGAGAAGAGACAGGAGAAGAGGGGATGATCAGATCACACGGCGGAGTAATCATGTGGCCCCCTGGCGTGTGCTTCTGCAAGGAGAGAGCGAGGAGACTAGACTAGCATGGCATGGCATGGCATGGCACTCAGCAGAACAACACCTTGCGGGAGCGAAGAATTTATTAGTCGACTCAAAATTCACCTGGCTAGCTTCTGCAAGGAGTGGGTGAGGAGAGGAGAGTAGACTAGCATTGCATGGCACTCAGCAGAACAAAACCTTACGGGAGCGAGGATTAGAACGGCAACAACACTTACCTTGAGGGGTGTGAGAACTACAATGACACTCACTTGAGGCGAGTGGGAACTGGGTGGCTGGAACGGCATTCACCTGAGGGGTGTGAGGAATCGAAGGACACTCCCACTCTCACTCACCTGAGGAGTTTTGAGGCAAAGGGCACTCTCTCTCTCTCTCTCTCACTCACTCACTCACTCACTCACTCACCTGAGGAGGCACGGAAGCGAGCACAATGTTGCCGAGAGAAGGGATGCGGCCCACATGGGTGAACCAGTTGCGGAATAACGCCTCCTGGCCTGAAAACAAGAAGAGGAGGGGGGGGGAACGAAAGGGGGATGGTGGAAAATCAGGGATGCATGCAGCCCACGTGGGTGTACCAGTTGCGGAATAACGCCTCCTGGCCTGAATGTGCGGGGGGGCCGATGGTGGAAAATCAGGCACGGGGAGACATGGGCGAGGGAGCAACAGGAGGCTTGTAAGGGGAGGGATGTGGCCCACATGGGTGAACCAGTTGCGGAATAACACATCCTGGCCTGAAGGGAAGAAGGGGAAGGGGGGGGGAAGGAGAGGGGATGGTGGGAACCAGGCATGGGGAGGGATGGGCGATGCAGCAACAAGAGGGTTGTAAGGTGAGTGATGCGGCCCACATGGGTGAACCAGTTGCGGAATAACGCCTCCTGGCCTGTGGTGGGGGGAGGGGGTGGGGAGGGCACGATGGGGAATCATGCATGTGGCCCACGTGGGTGAACCAGTGCGCCTTTTTTTAGGCGCCTTTTTTTAGTCACCCAAAAAATCACAACCGCCCACCACTCGATCCCCGTCCCCATCTCCTCCACCTCCCTCAAAATGCTCCCCCACCCACCCTTGCATGCTGCATCAATCCAGAGACCAACTCTCGAACAACAAGAACGCACCATCGCAGGCGACAGTGACGATCACCACGCCAGCAGCCCCCCTTGATGCGCATCCCCCCTTCCTGCACCTTCCCCACATGCTCCCCCACACATGCACGCTGCATCAATCCAGAAATCACCTTCCTGACCAAAGGAAAGCAACGCACCATCGCAGGCAACAGTGACGATCACCACGCCAGCAGCCCCCCTTGATGCGCATCCCCCCTTCCTGCACCTTCCCCACATGCTCCCCCACACATGCATGCTGCATCAATCCAGAAATCACCTTCCTGACAAAAGGAAAGCAACGCACCATCGCAGGCAACAGTGACGATCACCATGCCAGCAGCCCCCTTGATCCTCATCCCCTTCTCCTCCATCTCCCCAAGATGCTCCCCTACCCACGGCTCCACCGCTCCCAACACCTCCGCCTCCCAATCCCCCCCTCCCTCCCCACCACTTCCCCCTGACGCTCCCCCTCCCTCTCCCCCTCCTCCTGCCAGCGGCTCCCCCACCCGGGCCTCCCCCACCTTGCCCTTCCCCCCTGCGCGGCCCTCCTCTCTCCCCCTCTCCAGCATCCCAGGGGTCTCGTCAAGACTGTCCACCTCTCCAGCCTCATCTGGCCGCCGGGGCATTGGGAACAGCAGCACCGGCTCCTCCTCCTCTTCCTCCTCATCCTCCTTCTCCACTTCTTCCTCATCGCCTTCTACTACCCCTGCCTCCTTGTCACTATCTCCTTTCCCCTTCCCAGCCGCCGCAGCAGCAGGAGCCCCAGAGGCAGCAGCACCAGCAGCAGCAGTCGCATTCCCCTGCTCTTTCACCTTCACCCGCCACAGCCCCGCCTTCTTCAACCCCTTGATCTTCGCAACCTTCCCAGTGAGATAATTCGCGTGCACCATCACCACTCTCGGCCGCACCTCCTCAAACCTCCCCCAGTGATCCTTCATCAGCTGCCCGGACGGGAACTGCAGCGGCGGCAGCACACCTATCCTCGGAAGCACCTTCCGCTCAAGCATCCACTGCATGACTAGATTCAGCTGGTCTTGGTCTAGACCCCCCTGCCGGCCTAGCTTTGCCATGCGAAACGCCCAGTTGCCTACGAGGCTCTTTGCGGGGAGAGTGGGGCGGAAGAAGAGGAAGCAGCTGCAGAAGAGGGGCTGGCCGTTGATGAACGTGGGGTCGATGGGGTCGATGTAGGGCGAGGGCTGCTTCATGTAGCGGTCGTGGGTGAGGAACATGTCGAAATCGGTGATAGTTTCGGCAGCCGCAGCAGATGCACCTAAGCTAGGGCCAGGTTTAATGTCGCCGCTACTGCTGCCACTGCTGCTGCCGCTAGAGTCAGGTTTTTGGAAGAAGGGGAGGGGGTTGTGCAGAAAGGCGATGTCAATGTCGCTGTAGAGGACCGAGAAGCCGAAGGAGAGCAGATGGTGGATGTAGATGGCGCGGTGGGATGCCACCCGGTGGAAGGCTGCTGTTCCAATGACCGATGCGCCCTCCACGTCCGCCCTCTCCTCCTGACCAAATTGCCCGCTCAGGTCGAGATGAATGGCCTGCAGGAGTGGGGAGGGGTGGAATGCGGTGGAGGGGTGTGCCAACTTGAAGCGTGATGCCCCCTCCCTCCACGTCTGCCCTCTCCTCGCTGCCAAACTGCACACTCAGATTGAGATAAATGGCCTGCAGGGATGGGGGGAGGGGCGAGAGAGGAGGGTACGTACGGGGGATGGACGGGTGGCATGGGGGGTTGTGCCGGGCGTGATGTAATGGCCCTTCCCCTCTTTGGGAATCACTTTTGAGAATTCTCAAAAGGCGTGATGTCATGGCCCTTCCCCTTCCCTCCTCCACCGCCACCCTCTCGCGCAGAAAAAGGCATTGCAGGAAGCAGTGGGAGAAAGGATGGATTTGAAATGTAAAAAACAAACGACTCCAAGATGGGGAGGGAATGAAGAGGGTGGGTGGTATAAGAGAAGGTCATGAACGAGAAAGGCAATTGACCTGTTCGTTCGGTGCTGTGCTTGAAGAAGGGTTTTGAGACGTCTCAAAACCCTTCTTCAATCACGAGGGTGGGTGGGTGGTAGAAGAGAAAGGCCATGAACGAGAAAGGCAATTGACCTGTTCGGTGCTGTGCTGTCCCGCAAACTTGGAGTCTCAACTCAGCGACTCACCTGGCCGGGCCATTTCGAGTGGGCGAATTCGAGGCTCTTGCTGTCCGCAGCAGAGACTATGAAGTGGCGTCCCAGACCCACCCACCCGCTCCAGATGCATTTACCCTGCCATGTCTATCCCTCAAACCGGAGCTGCGCAAATCAAACCTGAACCGTCTTGGTGTCCAGTTACTAGCTACCAGTAACCAGCAGTAACCAGTTACCACTTATTGAAGGCAAGGCGTCTCAACTCAGCGACTCACCTGGCCAGGCCATTTGGAGTGGGCGAATTCGAGGCTCTTGCTGTCAGCAGCAAAGACTATGAAGTGGCGTCCCAGACCCACCCGCTCCAGATGCAGCACCCAGTTCTCCAACATGTCCTCGTATCCTGCAGTGGTACAGGGATGGGTAAGAGGGTAACAGGGTAATTGGGTAACAGGGTAACTAACAGTGGACTCAACACCTCCAGATGAAGCACCCAGCCCTCCAGCAGCATGCCCTCGTCACCTGCAGCAGTTGCACAGTGACGGGTGAAAGGGGACTGGTGATCAATTCAGTGCACCCAGTTCTCCAGCAAGTCCCTGAGGCCTGCATGCCAGCCCGGTGGCACAGAGCGGCACAGTGACAGGGTAACAGGGTACCAGGTTCACACTAAATCAACGTCTTCAGATGCAGCACCCAGTTTTCCAGCATGTCCTCGTAGCCTGCGTGCCAGCCCGATGGCATGGCAACAGGGTAACTGGATGACAGGGTAACAGGGCGAAGGGTAACCGGGTCACATGGTGTCAGGGTAACAATGTAAAAGAGGAATATGGGTAGCAGGGAAGTGTGGGAGAAAGGTAACATGGCAGGGGGAGGGGAGGGGCGACTCAACGCTTCCAGGTGCAACGCCCGTTTCCAGTGTGGCCTCGTCAAGTCACCAGTGAAAAAATGATGGCATAACAGGGTAACACGGTAACAGGGTAACAGAGTAACAGGACACCAGGGTAACAAGGTACATTGTAAATAAAGCAGCTAAACAATGAGCAACAGGAGAACAGAGGATGAAAGTTTCCTCATATGTTAAGCCTGCATGATTCCACCAAGGATACATCATACCTGGTAACCCCGTAACACGCAGAGCAGAAGACAGGGGAAGGCAAAAACTCTCCAGTTCCAGCAATCGTCATATCCTTGGAACAAGGGCCATACGAGGACCTTCTAGGGCATACCTGCATTCGAGGACGCGATAATGACAGTTCCGTTAAGCGAGACGCGGCTGGCCATGTCCCATAGCGCGCCGAGCTTGTCATGAAGATCGCTCAGGCCGACTCCTGCCAGGCGACGATGGACTGGTTCGCGAAGGGGTTCGCGAATAGATTCGCGAAGAGGTTCGGCAAAAGAGCCTGCGACGAAATGGCTGCCGAAAAGAGTTGCGAGGAGGAGGACGACGAGAGAGGAACGGAAGAGGCGTTGACAGGAGAACGGCGACGATCTCAGCGCACGTAAGGGAACTTGTATGGTTGAAGGGTCAACCCCGATACGTGTCAACCGTCGTGTGGAGAGTTTCGGCGCGAACGAAGCGCGCGCTTGTCGCCTTTGAGTCCATTCTGTTGCAGGTGCTTTTTCAGGTGACTTTTGAGTCGACTCAAAAGTCACCTGAGCAATCTCAGGAAACACCTGCGACGCGAATGAAGTGCGCCGACGTCCTTGAGCTGGCGACATTCGTGTGGAGCCTAAACTTCGTCTTAGCAATCTGTTCGTATACTGAACCGTGTGGCCGTAGGGAGTCCCTTCGCGACTTCTATCTCAGCCTCGAGTGCGGTTTTACTACAACGGGCGCATCAACTGTTCGCGGTAACGCGTATGGGACGGTTAGCTCGTGGGGGAAGCGCGCAGCGAGGCTCGTAACAAATTTCGCTTTAGATGACAACGATGGCAAGCATCAAATTTCCTGACGTTCGCCGTGACTGGCGGCTGGTCGCTGTTGCTCGAGTCGACCAGCCAGATAAGCACGAGCAGATCACCAACGGTCACTTAGGGCGTGTCCAGTTCGTTCATTTCGGGTTTTTTAGTGCCGACACACGTCTCGAGGTTCAAAAAATTTCACTGTACCTAAAAACGAATGCATTGAGAGTTGAGTCCCACGTACTGTAGCTTCAGGAGCGCGGACACGTTCTCCGCCACACGAATCAACAGTGCTCTCATCGCGTTCGAAACGAGGTAACAGTTTCCCTCGTCAATCATATCTAACGAATTTTTGGGCAGGCGGGGGGGTGTTGGCGAGTGTAGCCAGCTACTGGCGAAATTGTGCAAGCGACACAGGGGGCACTACTGTAGTGGACAGGACGCGGTGCTGTACCCTTGTTCGTATCCCCGCTGATTCCAGTAACGTGAGTCAGACGACTCGAGGTACGTGCAGGGGGCGTGCCGTCTTGTGAACGAAAGCTGATTGTGTCCGCAGGACACGTTCAATAATGTGGTAACTGAGCGGGCTTACGAACACTAAATGTACGAGCTGGACACCTCCTTATGGCGTGGCAAGTGGGCAATCTCAAGGTGGCTCGCCACCGCACTGAACCCATGCTAAATTGTTCCACTCTGTACAGTTGCGGGTGTGAAACATGTGTGCACACCGATTTCCGAACCGTCTGAAGTGGCGAATTGTAAGGGCGTGTTACATTTTCGAATTTTCCGTACGGTCCGGACATATCACTCTGAAACAAACTGAAACCCACTTGAACAAAGCGTTTAACGAAAAAAACGATTTTAGCCGTTCAGACGGTCCGGTCCGTTTGGAAAAAAAATCGAAAATGTAACACGCCCTAACTGCATACAGTACATTGAACTGTCACAAACACTCGTCAACTGGTGTGGAGGGTTCGCGATAGCTGGGTGCACATCCAGAATGTCGTCACCATTCCGCCCACCCTGGAATTTCTCAAGTTCCTTCGGTAACTCCAAATGGACTTCGCAGCCGAACCGAGAAGTTCAATTCGCGCAGAACAAGTCGTCGTAATCCATTTTTGCGCCCCGGTGCTTCGCGATTGGGCTACAGTTCTCACTACAGTGCGGGCAAAAGGGGGAACCATGGGATCGGAGTTCACTGTGCGGCATCCTCCTTACTATCCTCCCTTACCCACCCAGAAGTGTCTCTGGGATTTGCCGGCCAACGTTTCTTGGAATAATGATGATTCAGCCTTAGCTTTGAGTTTTGACACAGGCAGTGCCTACTTGAGTCCACACCCAGCAGCAATGGGTTTCCATTCCAGACACCTCGTTCACGCACAACATAATGTTCACGACATAAAACTAGGGCCAGTAATTCGCGGCGCTACGTTTTGCGATCATCCGGTGACAAGTGTTGCTAGCGATGGATTTTCCAGCCACAGAAAAGCCGCCACGTGTGCGAGGAATCTCCTCGTTAACCTCCCTTTTTTCCTGTCAACGCCTCTTCCGTTCCTCTCTCGTCCTCCTCATACTTCTTCTCAGCACCCGTTTCGTCGCCTTCTCCTTCGCCAAACCTTCTCGCGAATCCCTTCGCGAACCAGTCCGTCGTCGCCTAACGGAAGACGACGGCCTCGGCGAGCTTCATGAGAAGCTCGGCGCGCTCTGGGACATGGCCAGCCGCCTCTCGCTTAACGGGACCATCATTATCGCGTTGTCCAATGCAGGTGCGCCGATGATGGTTCGCTACATTCTCCTGCCCAGTATTCTGTTACCAGGTTACCGTATTCCCCTTCCCATGCTACCCCTCCTTCCGGCCCGCGAGGCATGCTGAAGAACCGATAACTTCTCGCCTGTTTCCCTCCTCACTGGTTTTTCTTCGTGTTGTTACCCTGTTACCCTGTCGCTGGGTGAAACGTTGAGTCGTGCATGCTGCATCCAGACCGTGTAACTGTATTGCTGACTCCCCACACTGTGCCACGATGCCAGTGGGGCGCCCAGGTTTCGAGGGCATGCTGGAAAACTAGGTGCTGCATCTGAAGGCGTTGGGTTGCAGCAGAGGGCGTCAAGTTCACTACTACCCTGTTACCCTGTTACCCTCATTCCTTGTCTGTCGCCGTGGGGCGACCAGGTTTCGAGGACATGCTGGAGAACTGGGTGCTGCATGTGAGGGCGTTCAGCTCACTGTTAGTTACCCTGTTACCCTCTTTCCCTGTCGCCCTGGGACACCCAGTCTTCGAGGACATGCTGGAGAATTGGGTGCTGCATCTGAACGCGCTGGTCTACTGTTACCCTGTTACCCTTTTACCCCATCCATCACTGTGTCACTGCAGGTTTTGAGGACATGCTGGAGAACTGGGTGCTGCATCTGGAGGCATTGGGTCGCACATGAGGGCGTTAAATCACTGTTACCCTGTTACCCTATCACCACATCATCACTGTGCCACTGCAGGGTTCGAGGACATGTTGGAGAACTGGGTGCTGCATCTGGAGCGGGTGGGTCTGAGCCGCCACTTCATTCTCTTCGCAGCAGACAAGACAATCCTTCAATTTGCCCAGTCCAAATGGCCCGGACAGGTGAGTTCACGCAATGCCCCGCATGCTTGATCGTCCATTACAAGAGCCGTATCAAACAGAATTGAGACGATTTTTAGGCGCCTCATGAATCGTTTCAGTGTGAGAGCCGTATCAAACGGAATTTCCTGTTTTGAGGGATGTGGTGGCCTTTTTTTTCGAGTGTGGCGTTGCAACGGTTGCTTCTGAGAGATCTCAAAAGCGGCAGGTCAGCGACGAGGAAAGAGTGGACGAGGAGGGGGCGTCACACATCAAATCTGCACCATCCCCCCTATACCCTACTCGCTCTCACCCTCTGCATTTTGAGACGTCTCAAACCTCGTAGAGCAGGTCAGGCATCATGCGTCAAATTGGCACAATCCCCCTTATACCCTCTAAATCCTCCTTCCTTCCTCTCACCCCTCCTCATTCCCCGCAGGCTATTTATCTGAGCCTGAGTGGGCAGTTCCACGACGAGGAGAGCGTGGACGTAGAGCAGGCCTCACGCATCAAATTGGCACCTTCCCCCCTTTACCCTGCTCTCTCACTCCTCCCTATTCCCCGCAGGCCATTCATCTCGACCTGACAGGGCAGTTCAACGAAGAGGAGAACGTGGACGTGAAGAAGGAGGTGAGGTGGACATCAACTCAGCCGGCTTTGAGATGTCTCATCCCCATTCCCTCCCGCAGGCCATTCGCCTCGACCTGAGCGGGCAGTTCAACGACGAGGGGAACGTGGATGTGAGGAAGGAGGTGGACATCAACTCAGCGGGGTTCTTCAGCGTGGCGTCCCACCGAGCAGTCTACATCCACCCACACCTCCTCCTCCTCTCCCTCAACTGCGATGAGAGGGCCAACGGGGAGAGAGGGGGCTTCAAAGCGGCACAACCCCCCACCCCACCCGCCCATCTCCCTTATACCCCCTCGCTCGCTCTCAACCTCCCCCCCCTCCAGGCCATTCACCTGGACCTGACTGGGCAGTTCAACGACGAGGAGAACGTGGATGTGAGGAAGGAGGTGGACATCAACTCAGCGGGGTTCTTCAGTGTGGCATCCCACCGAGCAGTCTACATCCACCACCTCCTCTCCTTTGGCTTCTCCGTGCTCTACAGCGACATCGACATTGCCTACCTGCACAACCCCCTCCCCTTCTTCCAAAAACCCAGCCATCCCACTGATGCTGCTGCTTCTGCCGCTGCTTCTGCTGCTGCATCTGCTTCTGCTGCTGCTGACGCTTATACCAGCGGTTCTGACTTCGACATGTTTGTGAGCATCGATCGTTACAGAGAGCAGCCATCTCCCTACACAGACCCCATGGATCCGACCTACACAGGCCTTCTCAACAAAGGGGGTCGCATCTTCTGCACCTGCCTGCTCTTCTTCCGCCCAACTGCCGCCGCCAAGAGCCTCGTACGCCACTGGGCGTTTCGAATAGCTAAGCTGGGGCGCAAGGGGGGGTTGGATCAGGCTCAGTTCAATCTATTCATGCAGTGGATGTACCAGAGGGGTGTGCTGCCGCGGATTGGAGTGCTGCCGCCGCTGCAGTTCCCGTCTGGGCATCTGATGCAGGAGCACTGGGAGGAGTTTGAGGCGGTAAGGCCGCGGGTGGTGATGGTGCACGCGAATTATGTGAGAGGGAAGGGCGCGAAGATCGAGGCGCTGAAGAAGGCGGGGTTGTGGTGGGTGAAGGAACGGAGCAACGCCACTGCTGCTGCTGCTCCTGCTGCTTCTGGCGCGGCTGCTGGAAATGCATCTTCTGCCGCAGGGCTGGTTGAGGAGCAGGAGGAGAAAGGGCAGGGAGCAGCAGGTGGCAAAGAGAAGGCGGCAGGCGAGGGAAGGGACGACGAGGAGCCAATCTTGCTCTTCCCAACGCCTAGGTCCCTTGAGAAGGCTGAGCGGGATGACAAGAATGAGGCTGCAGGGATGTTGGGGTTGGAGGGTGGTGCGAAGGGTGGGAAGGAGGGGGAGGAGAAGGTGCCGACAGGGGCAGCTGGGAGAAGCGGAGAGGCGGGAGGAGAAGAGGATTGGGAGGCGACTTTTGAGGCGCCTCAAAAGTCGACAGGGGCAGCTGGGAGAAGCGGAGAGGCAGGGGGAGAAGAGGATTGGGAGGCGAGGGTACTGGCGGCAGTGGAGCCGTGGGTGGGGGAGCATTTGCAGACGATGGAGGGGAAAGGGGTGAGCGTGGCTGCTGGTGGTGGCATGGCGGTCTTCACTGTTGCCTGCGATGGTGCGTTGCTGCTTTGTTAGAGAGGTGGGTTTCAACTGATAGTGCGTTCAGCGTTCTTGCACAGGAGGTGGTGAGTTGATGAAAGGGTCGAGCATGGGCATAGCATAGCTGGCGCCCTGGTGGGAGGCGAGGGTACTGGCGGCAGTGGAGCCGTGGGCGGGGGAGTATTTGCAGACGATGGAGGGGAAAGGGATGAGCGTGGCTGCTGGTGGTGTCATGGCGGTCTTCACTGTTGCCTGCGATGGTGCATGCATGGTGCGTGAATGGTGCGTGGATGGTGCGTGGATGGTGCGTGGATGGTGCGTGGATGGTGCGTGGATGGTGCGTGGATGGTGCGTGGATGGTGCGTGGATGGTGTGTGGATGGTGCGTGGATGGTGCGTGGATGGTGCGTGGGTGGTGCGTGGATGGTGGTGCGTGGATGGTGCGTGGATGGTGCGTGGATGGTGCGTGGATGGTGCGTGGATGGTGCGTGGATGGTGCGTGGATGGTGCGTGGATGGTGCATGGATGGTGCGTGGATGGTGCGTGGATGGTGCGTGGATGGTGCGTGGATGGTGCGTGGGTGGTGCGTGGATGGTGGTGCGTGGATGGTGCGTGGATGGTGCGTGGATGGTGCGTGGGTGGTGCGTGGATGGTGGTGCGTGGATGGTGCGTGGATGGTGCGTGGATGGTGCGTGGGTGGTGCGTGGATGGTGGTGCGTGGATGGTGCGTGGATGGTGCGTGGATGGTGCGTGGATGGTGCGTGGATGGTGGGCGCGCATGAACCACATACCTTTTCTCACCACCTTCCCCCTCCCCCCTCCCGCCCCCATCAGGCCAGGACGCCTTGTTCCGCACCTGGTGGGCGCGCATGAACCGCATACCTTTGCTCGGGAGAGCTCTCCTCGCCTCCGTGCCTCAGGTGAATCTTGTGTTCTGCCTCAGGTGAATCTTCTGCCCCAGGTGAATCTTGTGTTCTGCCTCAGGTGAATCGTGTGCTTTGCCTCAGGTGAATCTTGTGCCTCAGGTGAATCTTGTGCCTCAGCTGAATCTTGTGCCTCAGGTGAATCTTGTGCCTCAGGTGAATCTTGTGCCTCAGGTGAATCTTGTGCCTCAGGTGAATTTTGTGCCTCCGGTGAATTTCCCCGTGTCTTCCCCGTGTCTTCCCCCGTGGCGTCCCCGTGTCTCCCCTCTAGGTGATGCGCATGCCAGGGGGGCACACCGTTGACCGACCCAAGGAGAGGACGTCCCTGCAAGTGGCTGCTGCCACATGCTTGCTGCTGCCGCCCCTCATCATTGCCCGCATGCTGGCTGCCAACGTGACTGCCGTCTACAGGTACAGTGCGCAATGCGCGGAGCTGTTAGAATGATGCTACAGCTCCAGGTGCACTGGGCAATACACAGTGCTGTCAAATATAAGCACCTCATTGGCCCCTCATCATCGCCCGCCTGCTGGCTGCCAATGTCACTGCCGTCTACAGGTACAGTGCACAGTGCTACTAGAAGAAGTTCAGAGAGCAATGAGCAATTCATGGTGCTGAGCGGTGCACAGTGCTTTTAACTATAATCACCTCACTCACTATTTTCCTAATTCTCCCCTCCTGCCTCCCCATTCTTCCCTCATTCTCCCCGCGATCGCATTCTTTCATTCTGTTCTACCCTCTCTCTCTTTCCTCACTCTTTCTTCCCCTCACCCCCCTCCCACCTCCCACCCTGCCCCCTCCTCTCCATGTCCTCCCAGCGACATCAACTCGGTGTGGCTGGGTATTGCCCGCTCCCACTCTTGTCCTTCCATTCCCCACCCTTTTCCCTCCCCTCCCCCCATGCACCCTGCCATCCTCCCAGCGACATCAACTCGGTGTGGCTGCGTGACACCCGCCCCTACTCTCTAATCTACCGTTGCCACCATGCCCCCTCCCCTCCTCCCAGCGACATCAACTCGGTGTGGCTGCGTGACGCCCGCCCCTACTTCCCGCCATCCTATTCCCTCGTGCTGCCCTCCCTCTCTCACCAAGCCCCACTGCAGCAGCAGCAGGAGCAGCAGCAGCAGCAGCAGCAGCAGCAGCCACAGCCACAGCAACAGCAACAGAAACAGCAGCAGCAGCAGCAGCAGCAGCAACATAAGCAGCAGCCAGACATGCCAGCGACGCAAACGGCACAAGAGGCAGCAGAGAAAGGGCCGAGAAATAGCACGGTGCAGGTGGGTGAGGGTGGGGGCAGCACGGGGCAAGCAGAAGCACCAGCGACGCAAGGGGCACAAGTGGCGGTTGAGAATGGGTTGGGAAACAGCACAGAGCAGGTGGTTGGGGGTGGGGGCAGCACGCAGAAAGCAGAAGCACCAGCGACGCAACGAGCAGCAGAGAGAGGTCTGAGAGCGAAAGCGGAGAGCAAGGGCGGGGGCAGCATGCAGCAGGCAGCGGCCCCTGCACCACCCAACACCACCGCCCTCACGCCGTCCCTTCTGGGGTCCCTCTCTCCATGGCTCATGGCTCTTCGCCCCTCCCCTCCTGTGCAAGCCATGGTGCACCGCTGGGCACTCAGGGCTTTAAGAGGTTGTAAGAATGCAGAAGCAGCCGAAGCTGCAGGTGGTTCGGGCGTGTTTTCTGGTTCGGAGATTCTGAAAAGGGCTCTCAACCATGCCGTGGCTGAGATGGTTCGGGAAGCGGGGCTTGTGGGAGCGGAGGAGATTGGGTTGGGTGAGGGTCCAGGTTCGGCAGGAGGCATAGATGCAGGTACGGAAGCAGGTGCGGGAGCAGGTACGGACGCAGGTAAGGGAGGAGGCACAGGAGATGTAGGAGAGGGGCCAAAGGGAGCAATCGTGGGGGTGCTTCCAGAGCAATTATTCCCGCCTGGGTGGAAGGTGGTGGGGGATAGGGCATGGCTGGAGGCGCATAGGAATGAGATAGTGGCCGTGCAGGTGAGCTGTGGGGAGGACAGCCAGGTGCAGGAGATGTGTGTCAGAGATATGAAGCTGTGGCTTTAACTTGTAAGAGCGTATTCCTACGGGGCCACCTCGTATCAAGAATGGTACTCCTGCCTGTAAATTGACAAGTTCGCCAAAACCTCATATCAGTAAAAGTTGCCGGTTAACCCACATGTGCGACTCCATCAACAGCTGATGTGGCATGTTGCGACCCAGCATGAACAAGTTTGCACACTTTGCACGTTCGCGCGCGGCGCACGACTGCCACCGTGTGCAGTTTCGCATGACTGTTTGTCGGCCGCATTCACTGGACTGACGACTTCGCGTCAACTGGAACCGTGCGTCGGAAAATCAGCACGTTCACTTCTGGGTGTGCGAGCATTTTCATTGGTGCGCTGGTTCGGTCTATTCTTGATATAAGGTGTTTTATACCGTAAACAAAAGTCAATTTCATTCTTGATACGAGGTGGCCCCGTAGGAATACGCTCTAACTTGTAATCATTGCTGCAGTGTATATTCAGCAAGTTCTTGCTCATTGCATTGAGCTTGCTATAACCCGTGGCAGCCGTGTTCTGTTTTGTTTGAAACTGTACATGCGAGATTCGCTCTAAAAACACTGCGTCGCAACTGGACCACTGAATGCGCTGTATGTTGTTGGAAACAAGCAATTTAAGCGCCTCTGTCGTGTCGAAGCACTTAGTCGCAAACGGAGCAAAACACAGCGAAGCACCGGCGAGTCAACCCTCGGAGGTTGAGAGATGAAGAAACCACTGGAGGTTACGCGAAAGTCAAAGGTCAGCGACCTTTGACCTGACAAATACAGCGCGACAGCAAGGACAAACAACCAGGGCCCAAAATTGGTTTTGGGGCACCCTGCCATATCAGGGTCCCCCAGTGCCCTTTGCCTGACCGTCTGTGTGGGAAATTTTTTACCCTGAGCTAGTCAGTGTGTTTTAGCTAGTACCCTGTGTGTGTAAGGGTATTTAAAAAACCATTCTGATTGCTAGTTCAAAGTCCTACTGGCACAACCTAATAACTTCCCTACATGCAACTCTACTCAACATAACCACCACTAACAAGACAACACATCACTCATTCTCGGGTCCCTCCTGCTGGTCTGCACTTGCAGTGGTGTCAGGGACTGCTGCCGTGTTAAACTGAGTATCACTTGGGTTGCTGCCAGTGAAGTCTCGGATTGGCCGCCTGTTTCTGTCGCCACGGAAGATGCGTGCGACCTCAAACCAGTCCACGGTGTACTCAAGGAGAGAGCAGCGCATTATGTGTCCCAATGATGTGTCTGAGATAGCCCCCCAGCCCCACGTTTTTATAATGTTCTGCTTGCTAAACCCCCTCTCGCACTCCACCGTGCTCAGGGGCAGCACAGCGACTGCTTGCCACAGGAGCATGATGTTGGGGTAGGAGCGCTGCCATTGGTCGTCGCGCAGAGTGTTGCTGAGCGCCTGATGGAAGTCTTCGTCATGGTGCTGAGAATGCATGGTCGATGTAAACATCCAGAGCTCAGCGACAGCCTTCGTGTAGTTGAAGCCTGAGGCATAGGGGGAATGATTCTCAAAGGAGTACAAAGCGGCAGATTAGTGTAGGGAGGGGGAAGGGGGGGGGGGGGGGGGGGGGGGAGGTGTTGATCTTTACGAGCACAAATCATGTGAAACAGGCCGTGTGCAGGCTATTACAGCAGGGTGTGTCACTCATGTGTGCACAGATTTGTCATAATCAACAGCGCACAAACCTGGCAAGGACTCGCGGTAGAGCACATGGAGCTGCTTCAGCCAGCGCTTGAACGCCGCGACACGCTTGTCATCATCTTGTAGGTACTTCGATGACAGGAACAGCTTCGAGCCATCGAGGTGAGACAGATCTCTTAGGCGCTTCTCAAGCTGCTTGACAACCTCCCGCACAAACTTGGTCGACAGCTCGTAGCATGCTGTCGCGTCACCTGCCGTCGCTTCACCGTCAGGGTCTTCATCGGCCAGTGGTCGCTCGTGGAGCACCACCTTCATCTTCCGCTTGTCCGGGTCCGACTTCCCATGTGCACGAATGAAGGCAGGCAAATGCATCTTGTCGCCATGACCGAATGTGTGTCCCTCGGGGACACGGAGGTAGCGTTGGGTGAGGCGCATCCGCGTCTGCTCTGCAAGGTGTGCCACCAGAGTCACGTCCACCTGTGACGCACGCGCAGTACAGAATCAAAGTGTGCGTGTTGGTAAAACGATATTTCATATGGAAACCAAGCATTGAGGTGACTGTGACATAAACAGAGCGCATACTAACCTGGCGTTGCTGGAACCGAAGGTTGAGCTGATTTAGCTCGAACAGGACGTCCGCCAGGAGCCGCAGAAGCCAGTGAAACTTGAATGACGTCGCCACTTCGTACATCGTCGGCGACTGGTCTTTCATCAAAACAATGGCAGCCGGGAGCACTTCCAGAAGACGAGACACGGCTTCCCCGCGAGATAACCAACGAACTGCATGGATGCCTTGGGCTTCCAGGTTGGTTTGACAGAAGGTGAGCTGTAGATTCATGAACCGCGCGTGCTGGACGTTGCTGTTGGATAGAAGGGAGGCAAACCCGCGCACGATGGTGTCGACAATGTTGAGCTCCTTCACGGCAGTCGCAGCATCTTTCGCCGCCAGAGCTTCACTGCAGGACAGAGGGTGGATCGGTGAACAAGGGGACATGTTGCCCACGCATTAGGCTCAAACATGGAGTGAAGCATATACACAACAACGCAAAGGGTTAAGGCGTAAAACAATGCACATCATATAAACGAACCGATGCGCTATGCAATGTGTGGAAACGAGGTGAGGAATCTTGGCGCGGAGACGCGCGACCACGCCATTGTGAACCCCGACCATCACGCTCGCGCCATCCGTGGCGATGCCGACCATCTTCTGCAGGTCCACACCAGTATGCTGCAGGAACTGAACGACGACAGATGTGAGCGAAGCAGCGTCTGACCGCTCAACCGTGAGAAGAGATAAGAACTCGGTCGCCACCACCGTTCCCTTGAAGAATGTGCCGTAGATGATCAGGTGCTTCCCGTGGATGCGATCCGTACTCTCGTCAATGCCAATCCCGAACCACGGTGAGGTCAGCAGGTGCTGCAGCTGGAGGTCCTGGAGGTAAGTCGACATCGATCTGATCTTCTCCTTGAAACCGTAGCTGCACACACGACGGACAGATGCGGAAGTATTAGTATTTGCCGACTGTACAGGCAATAAAACATGCTACCAACAGAAGGAATGCATGAACTTACTCCGTATAGTATGCGCCATAGCCACCTGTGGGCGGTAGATCTGGAAGTCCCTCTCTGGCCAAGAACCAGCAGAGAGGTACAAAAAGGGCGATTGGAGCATCCGCCTTATATATGAACATGGCGATGTGCAGACAGCGGATTATGTGACGCGTTGATGCATCCGTGGCTTGCCAACGCGTGAGAGTCAGTTGACGCTCACGACGTGCCTCAGCCTCAGCTTCCACCTTCAAAGCGGCCTTGTGCGCCCTAGTCGCAACATGGGCGCGCATGCTGCCTAGCTGAAGATCGCGGCCACCCTCGCCCTTGATGCCGTACGTCGTGTTGGCAGCGGGGTCGCCATGCAGCATGCAGATGTTGCACTTCAACGAGGGCCGGCCTGCTTTCGTGCGATGCAAACGAAGCCACGGAAAACGAGACGACCAGTCAGAATCAAAAGGATGCTTGATAATAGCATACTCAGTGTCCGCATCCGATTGGGGTAGCTCCTCAGCCTCCACTGGCGGAGGTACACGTGGAGGACTTGGTGGTTTGCGTGGAGGCTTTGCACCCCACAGGAGCTGCTGGGTGTATTTCACACCACCGGTTCGAGCACGCTTAGCTGGAGCGCTGTTGACCGTTGACGGAGTGCTCTCGCCTCCGTTTGAAGGGCCCTCGTCACCACCAGGCACCAATGTCACGGACGGGTGTGGCTCCCAGGCAGTCGGCGAGTTCGGTGCCTCCCACGCATACACCATGCCGACTGAACAGACTGGTGATTCGGGGCGAGGAGGTTCTTGGACAGGAGTGGCATAGGCTTTGCCCAGCCGGGGGAAAACCCCGAGCACAGAAAGTCCATTGCGAGGAGAAGCAGGTGCTTCTCCTCCTGATTCCTCGTCTGGCATGGTAAGGTGGAGCTAGTGGAGCAGAGTAGGGGATAGAAGAAATGGCTGGAGAAGGTGAGGATGAAAGAGAAGGCACTCGTTCTAAGGATGTGGCCTTTCGACCACGCTTCCAGAATGTGTGGCGCTGCGCATGCAATGAATAGGCCAAGGAAGCCCCACCACCCACAGTTTGCAAGGACACTCCGTGGCATGGTGGTGTGGGCTACATTGCCATGCTGGATGTAAATGCTGTAGAGGCAGCGAATCACAAGTTTCCTGGTGTGGTCTGTTTTGTCGATGTGACAGCGCGACAGTGACTCGTCTGGCCGGTTTTGTAACCATCTCGGACTAGTGGCCACATGGGCCTTGTTGTACAGAAACCACACGAGGAAAGTTTGTTTCAGTGCATTTGAAAAAGTACCTTGACGAGTCAGGGGAGAACTCGGGGTGGCCTGATTTTGCAAGTGTATTTCAAAAACTACAAATATACAGTCAGGGTCAATTTGTAAATACACGTCCTACATCAGGGCATTCCTGGAAAAGCGGCCCATAGCAAGGGTAGAAAGGGTAAAACACCCTTGAATTTTGGGCCCTGCAAACAACTGACTCGTTATTGAGCAGTTGCCCGAGTCGTCACTGTATCGAACCGCAACAGCAGCAGCAAAACGGTTGTTATCTATAACCTTTCATATTCCCTTGTACTCTTATAAAAGCCAGTATCTCTTTGCTTTAATCAATCTACTTTGCCCTCACATACTAGCGCAAGGTGGTTCACAAGACTTGTCATTAAACGCTTCCGCTATTACATTGTTCCTACTCAGAGTTAGTCCTGCAAAGATCCTAAGGGCTATTTCTCAGCCCAACATGGTATGAGAGCTATCAGGGCAAACTCAATTACTATCAAGACACCTACAACATCAGAAGG